TTTCGCCGAGGTTGCTACCTCCTCCTCCTCCTCCCCTCCTGTCTGCTCTCCATTCTTTTTCGATCCCGGTTCATCCTCCTCCTCCTCCTCCTCCTCCTCCTCCTCCTCCTCCCCCGCTTTTCCTCCTCCTTATCCTTGTTGTTTCATCTATCTATTCCTCGTAGTCAAATCTCGTTCCTCACTCAACATCACTTCTTCCCATACCGCCTACAGTAGTCCTAATACCACCACCTCTACTTTTCCCTCCCCCACTACTCCCTCCTCCCCTCCCTCCTTCCTTTCACCACCTCCTCCTCTTCTTTCTTCTCCTTCTCCCTGCTCCTCCTTCCTCTTCGTGAGCTACTTCTCCCTTCGTGCTCCCTCCTCTTCTTCCTACCTCTCTTCCCCGCCTCCTTCTCCTCCTCCTCCATCTCTTCCCCTGTCTTCTACTCCCTTACTCCTCTCCTTCCTCCCTCCTTTCTCCTCCTCCTCCTCCCTTTTGTCTCCTCCTACTCGCTCTACTGCCTGTAGTTCTTCCTCCTCCTCCTCCTCCTCCCCCTCCTCCTCCTTACTAGTGGTTCTCAAGGTCGGGCTTGCTAGTTGCCACTCCCCCCTCTCCTACTCCCTCTCTCCTCCTTCTCCTCTCCCCCGTCTCCTTTCCTCCTCCTCCTTCCTTCCTCCTCCCTGCTTCCTTCCTCCTTCTCCCTCCTTCCTTCCTCCTCCCTCCTTCCTTCCTCATTCTCCCTCCTTCTCCTTCCTTCCTCATCCCTCCTTCCTTCCTCATTCTCCCTCCTTCTCCTTCCTTCCTCATCCCTCCTTCCTTCCTCATTCTCCCTCCTTCTCCTTCCTTCCTTCCTCCTTCTCTTTCCTCTTTTCTCCCTCCTTGTATTCCTTCCTCCTCCTCCCTCCTCCCTCCTCCTTCCTTCCTCCTCCTCTCGTCCTTCTCCTCTCTCCTTTTTTTTCCATCCTTGTCTTCCTTCCTCCTCCTCCTTCCCTCCTCCCCCTTCGTTTTCCAGTCTTCACCCCTCGTCTTTCTCTCCTGCTGCATGTCACTTCTTTTTCCTATTTAAGAGTACATTTCTTTTTTTCGTTTTTTTTTTTTTTCAGAAAGGGCGACAGCCTTTAGATATCAAACATTGAAATGACCAGCTCGAGGTAATTTCAGAAGTATGTTCTTTTCTTTTGTTAGTCTGGCTGCATCTGGATTCGAACTTGGGTCTGATTCATATTTCAACAGTTCATGGGTATACAAACTGAGCGAGGCCGATCAATATTTCGAGTACATTTCAATTTTCTTCTTACTTTCCGTCTCTTAAATTATTTCAATTACATTTTATTTTTTTTTACATCACTTTTTCTTTTTTAGTCTCACACTTCGTTACAGGGTTTTTTTTTTTTTTTTTTTTTTCTATAAGGCTTTCTATCTCCTCTGTCAATGAATCATTTTTAAATTAGATTTCGTGCCTTTATTGTATTTTATTATTATTAATTTATTATTGTTTTCGAAGTCACAGCACCGCGACTTCCCAGGAGGTCACCCTTCCCAGTACTCTTCCGGTCTAACGGCGCTTGGCTTCCGAGTTCGGATGGGATTGGGCGCATTAGCCGTGGTATGACCGTACGGATCAGTTCTTCTTGTTTTTTTTCTTTTTTTTTCTTTTTTTTTTTCTTTTTTTTTCTGTTTTTTTTTTTGTTCCCCCGGAGGGGAGGAGGGCTGCGCCGCACTCTGCTGCAGTGCAATACAGAGGCAACGCTGGAGGGGTCGAGCAGGCAAGCCTACCCATGTGACCCCTCCGTAGCCCAGAAAAAATAATTTAATATCGTAGTGGCCCGATGGACCACGGATCAGATATTAAAATGACCAGAACAGATACAATGCACTTGATCTATTTTTAGCCAAAAGGCCGAGAAAGGTATACGGATCATTTCTCGATTTATGACTCTGTCAGAGAAGATTCAGACGGCGGCCTGTTTTTTTTTTTGTTTTTTTTTTTTTAAGCAGGCCTTTTATCTTTCCAAGAACCTCTTTTTTTGTATTTTTTGAAACGAATCACATTTCATTATATCATCATGATGCTTGACATACGGAGACTCATACTGATACCATCTTCCCCCGCATAGAACGCCCGGTCATTATAGCTGTGTATTTGTTGGGGCTGCATTGGGTCGCGTTTGAAAGCAAATCAAAAGAGCAGGGCCGAGGTCCCACCCACTAGCAAAAAGCATAGGATCGAGCTCCTGAATCTGGATGTGTTTTAAGTAGAGATGCAGAAAGGCAGTTCAATCTCGATTTCCTGCACATCTCCATAAACTCGTCCAGATTCAGGCATTCTATCCGATCCTCTTCGCTACCTAGTGGGACCACGCCCCAGAAGATCCCCGCGATCGAGGAACCCTTGGGTGATTGGTGAGCATATGGGCCTCGCTCCACTAATCTCGACACGCACAAACGACAAAACTTATGGCGGCGTATCTGTCCATGTTCTAGCGGAAGATTCGCTCTCGATTTGCCTGCACACTTCGAGAGGTACTGTCGTGGAGCCAGGCCGAGCCAGGCCCCATAGCGCACTCGTCTGCACATTTGATGGCAGCCATCAACACATACTCCCTAGGTTGGTGTTTATCGGTCACCTTGTTTTTTTTCGTTTTCAAGAATGATGTTTTGTTTTCTTCTTCTCTGATTTCTCAGTTTAAAAGGGAGGAGGGGAGAGGGGGGGGGGGGGCGCGGAGAGGGGAGATCTGACACTTAACCACAATTGGCGTCGGCGGAACCTTTACTCCGCAGTCCGCAGCTGTCTCCTGTTCTTCTTCCCGCTTACCAGCGATTAGACCCTCATTCAGTTTCTAGTTTAGTTCGATAGCAGCTATGCTTCCTCCTCCCTCTTCTTTCTGCATGCCAAATGGCTCTCCCTCCTTTTCCTCACCCTCCCCCGCTCTTTCTCCTCTC